TCATAAAACACCACTCCTAAGCGCTCCTAAGTGGTGTTTTATGACCCTCTTCTCAGTAAAGAGGGAGGAAACAAGCTATAAAATATCCTATCAATCAAATAAGTTTTTAAATATTGGTTTATGACCAAACATATTTTCTATCCACAAATTCCTAAAATGCAGTAAGTAATAGAAAAAGAAATAACTTATTTAAGATGAATGTTTACAGACTGGGATGGACTCTTGTTGTGGTTGGAAAAAAATGCTTGTGAGAATACATAAAAAAATAGTTTCACACTGTGGTCAGTAAAGCTCCATCTTTTTCCACACATTTGAGTTTTTAAAGGCTCAGCATGAACAAATTATCTTTTGTGGGAGAAAAATAAACTTGAGACCCAAGAATGTAGGACTTTAAAATGACGAATTTGTCCTTGTTACTTCTCTGAAAGCAGTAAATCCACCGTAAGCCAGAGCAATCACGCTAACTGGCTACACCTGTGTGAGCCTTTTATTTTTTGTTGTTGTTGTCCTTTCTGATTCTCATCTTATTAGAATGGGAATCTGGTATCCTTCAAAACTTCCACAAGTCCTTGTTGGCATGAATGGTGGTTAAACCTGAGCTTATCTTCCAGTTGGAGCAAAACTGACGGGGCAGCTGTGCACTTGTAGCTGGAAAGTTTTAGAGGAGGCTTGCTAAGTGCCGCTGCAGCAGTCATGACTGCTGGCTTCATGATTTCAAGGTAACAAATCTGTTTAAGAACAGACTGGTTTTACTGAGTCCAGTAATTGCTCAATACTTTAGGCTGAAATGTGATATATTTGGAAAAATGTCCTTTCAATTCTTACAGAATATTGATGCTTTGCCTAATAAAGGAAGTGATTTATGCCTCTACTTTGCCAGGAGGTAAGTTTGACTTGCCTTTTGAAACATGTGAAACTGGTAAAATGAGTAGTGACTTGTTTCAGGCCTCTTAACCCACAGTCTGAACTACTAAATCCCATTAAAACTGTTAGCCAATGCCTGAAGCACATGGAAAAGGTGTTTAGCAATTTGTCCCTATTGAAATAGTAGGCTATCAACTGACTTGTAAGTCATCTTTGAGTATTTATTAAACATGCAAACCATGTCATGCAAAAGTGAAATTCCAATACTGTTCTAAATTAATGACTGTAAAATCTGACTAAAAATTTTGGCTTTATGCTTAATATTGATGTAGTCATCCTTTCTGTGTGATGAAACTACTTTGCATGAATTTTATTTGCAAACTAGACCAGTTTGGTGCCTCTAAGGTTTGGCTTTGGAAGCATCCACACTCAGATTTGGGTTAAATTGATCTGCAAGCTCCACTCCATGGGTATTTGTGGTGTTATTGTTTCTAGAAACATGGCAACTCCTCTGAAACTTTTTGTGAAACCACTGTGATTACTTTAGTTTGACCAGTGCTCTCTGTGACTTGATATTCAAAAAATGTGACAATAACTGAATATTTACACTGCACCATAACTTTTGTCTGCAATATAAAATATTGTTTTTTGGGGTTTTCTTTTTTGCTCCTGCCAAGATTGTAATCAATACTCCAATCAGTCTCTGAATGTATATAAAAAAGAATTTGCTAGGACTTCCTAGAATATTGAATATTGTGTGCCACAATTTGATATTGCCTTGCTAAATAACAAAGTAAATGTACACAAAATATTGACATGATCTGTTCTTGCAGCCAATACTGGGTACACAGCATGGCAAAATGGAGGACAGAAACGGGAAGTACTTGGTTACCGCCGCCCTCTGCATTATGTGCGCTCTCTGAGGGAGCCGAAGAATAATCTGATCAACACAAGACAAAACCCTCAAAGGAATGGTGTGAATGATTTGACCCTTGGCCAGACTTTTAGGGAAACTCCACGTCCTCTTTGGCCACAGAGCCTTCCAGTCCAACCTGGACCACAAAGAAACTACCCTTTGGTTCAACCTCGAGGCTTCAGGGTCAGCTTGGATCTCCCTTTTTATAAACTCGATCAAATGAAAGAAACTGACTCTCCCACCAAAACTCGCCCCAAACTCCAAAGTAAACCAAATGTTCAACCAAATGGCCTCAGCATTTCCGATTTTCAAAGCCCTGAGAGAGATTCCAAAAAGGATCGAAATGTTGAAAAGAACATCCATGGTGTTCCCACTTCAACCTTCCAGGTCAACCTTACCATTCCCCTTCCAGCTTCATCTTCAAATCCAATAAAAGCCATTGGCAAGTTTGTTGAAAACAAAAGCCCAGGAAATATCTTTCAGAACAGTTATGGAGATCTAGGGAAACGGTTGAGTTCCATTCATACTGAAGTGAAACCTCTCGCCATCAGCCAGACAGCAGGTGAACAAATCAGAAAGCAACTGGGCTCAACATGGTCTAACTATCCTGCTACTGGACCCAAGCAAACTCTGCAGCAGCCAGGTGGGTCAACTTACACCCCACCTACTAATGGCAAACTGACCTCTTCAAGATGGCAATTAATTTCCCCACAAAGAAACTATAATCCCACGGCCAGGCAGAGTTTGCCACCCCAAAAACCAGATTCAACCAAACCGCCATCTTTGTCTTTTGCTAAGTATCTTGAACGTTTGGGTCTCATCAAAGCCCAAACAAGCCACACAAGAGAAGACGTAGCTCAGCCTTATTCCAAACAAAAGCTAAATTTGTCTCCTCTGCAATATAACAGAGGATCTCAAGATAACAAATATGTCGGTGTTGGTTCTCAAAGTGTTGGTCTGCCCCAAAACGGTTATATTACTTCTGTTCCTGCTAACGTCAAAGATTTCACAAGTGATCAAAAAGGTGAAAAGGAACAAGATTCTGCAGGTCCCTCCCTACAACTAGAGTTTTCTTTCCCAGTTAAAACTTTGTCAAACCTCACTAAAGGTGGTGGGTACTTGACTATCAGACCTCAAAATGTTAAGTCTCTTTGGACTCGTTACATGGAGGCAAAAAAACTACAATCACCTGAGAGTGAATTAAAAAAGTCAGTTTTGGGCTTTGATGATGCTGGGTACCACAGAAAGACGGGGCTTCCTGAAAGGAAATGGCCAACCCTAAATCTTGAACTAGAACCAAAACGGAAGCGGCCACCTCCTTATGAGCCTGTTGCTGTCAAACCTACAGACAACAAGCCAAGCTTCTCATCCTGGCTTCCAAGAGATTCAGAGACTGGAAAGCCACGTTTTCCAGTCCTGGCGATTTCAAAATATCTCATTGATGCTACACGACCTTTAAAGGGCAAATATCAAACCGTCCGGCCAAAACCACTGCAATCTGGAAGGCTTCAAAGTTTCTACAGTTCCCTGAAGCCCAGCATCAACAGCTATGTGGAAAGTCAGCCTAGACCTTCAGCCAGCCGATTTGCTTCTACCCATGATGATCCCTTAAAACCATACAGTCATCTCCAAACGAATGCTGAGATTTATTCAGGTCCACTTCACGGCCTGCTCGCTTATGGCAGTTCATCCTTTAATTCTCCCATGTTGGAAGTTGTTCCTGCAAAAAGGCCACAAACGTGGCAGAAACCAATTTCTTCCCTCTATCTTCATGAGTACAACAGTGGAAAAGAACCTTATGATACTTTTGAAGATGTAATTGGTCTACACAGTAGGCCAAGTGGATATAAAGTTCAAAATAAACTTCCTGAGCAAGACGACCCTGGACATTTCCAAGAGGGAAAAGATTACTATGTGAAACCCTTTGACACTAATGGAGGTTTTGTCTCTGGGCAGACGTACCAGACTGGGAACTCTGCGGAAACATCCTTTAATGTACAACCCCCATGTGAATCTTCATTCTCTAGGCTTGGCCAAGATGGGTCTTTTTCAGACCTTCGCTACCCTTACCCAAATGCAGAATCTCAGCCTTGCAGTCAAGTACCTTGCATCGACGGTGTAGATGAATGTGTTAATGAACAGAACGCAAATTTTCCACAAAGGGTTAGTTACTCGCCAAAGGCAGAGGCAACTTCTATTTCTATTCCTTACAGTAGTTTTGACCGCATTTTTACTCAGTCAAGCTACCAGCCTGCTCAAAATGGCTTTAAGCTCCAGCAATACCCTGTTGGACACAAACAGTTTTGATGATCTATGAGCTATGACGATACACTCGGGTCAGGTCATGAACATGTTGAACTTTGGCTTAAATTGTGCAATCTGCTCATTCGTTTTCCTTCTGCGCATTTAAATATTTAATAAAATGTCTGCTTCAAAATGAACTGTTCCAGGTATCATCACTAATTGGTTCCCACCATCACATTCTGCTGTGACCCTGGTTCAACAGGAAGTATTGTTTAATAGCCCTGTCAACCTAAAGCAGTTGCACTTCATGGCTCTGGTTTAGTAAAATGCATGTGAGAAACCCAAGACTTTTGCTGGCTTAAAAATAAACCAAAGACTCTCCAAAGAATGATGCAGGGAATGCTGCTTACATTTCTGAACCTAAATGTAAATTGAATCTCGTGTCTAATGATGCCTCTCTTCCAGGCAATGCAGGTTAACCTGAAGTGCAAGGAACAGGATCTAAGGTTGCCCTTTGTCAAATAAAATGGCAAAACCTACTCTCTGTGTGTGAGGGTTTTGTTTTTGACTCAATTATATAGGCATCTATTTTATCACTGCAAAACTCAGGGTTCTATCTCAGTTAACCACCTAAATGAAAATATAACTTGGTAAAATCGGGGAACCACATGCTATTGCTTAACTTATCTCTTGTTTAAAGTGCTAACATGTGGCCATCGAGTTGTGCCAGTATGTCTACTTATTAACCATCTAATCTTTATAGGGTTTCCACTAAATTAAACTGGAACCTTTTCTGGCTAAATGGGCTGGAAATGCTCTTTTAGTCATTCAGTAGTAACTTAAAACTATTTTATATTTTTGGTGTCTTATTGCTTTGCAGGGAGAGAAATGTGGAGCTTCCCCAATTTCAGCTCCAGTACATGTTTTACTCTGAAGCTGTACTTTCCACTCTTATAAGAACCATTACCAAAGCAATATTGCATGTTTACATTTTAAATTAGGCATTCCTAATTGGGTAACATATTAGCAGAAGAGAAAGTGACCTTGGTTTCTCATTACACATTATGCAAGACCTGTGTAGGGATATGTTGTTCAAAAGACTGAGTGAATGGCTGCCTTTGCATGTGACTGTTTGTGCAGTGTGATTGAGATGTCCAGGGCTGTAAATGAGACAATGGAGCAATTATTGGTTTGGACTGTTTTAAAGCCACAATAAAGGCAACTCCTTATGTTTAATAGTTCAAGGAAAGGAGTCTCAGGTTTTTAAATTCAAACATTTCTTGCAACCAGGTTTAATGATTGAGCAATATTTGATGATTGATTGATTTGATGAGTTCGGGGTACCCAGTCTACACCTTTCACTGGAATTTCTCTTTCATGCTAATGAGAACAGTAGTGGAACTGCACCGTCCGACTGCCCACCCAGTTGATGGCTTATCAGGGGAAAAAAACTGAGCAGTTTCAATTGCAAGAAAAAAAAGTAATCTGATTTTATTAGATGAGGTGACACTATTACATTCATAACGGTAAAATGGAAAAAAAAAAAGTCAATCTTGTTTTGAAGGCTTTCAAGGTGAATGTGTTCTGCACAAGGAAGAAATTCCCCAAAACTAAGTTTCAATTTGCTACAAATTTCCAGTGACGGGCATTTCACAATATGAGCTTGTTTGCTTGTTTTGTCAACCAATGATGATGCAATACCATTTGTACAGTAAAAAAGCAGAATGTATATTAAAAAAAAAAAAAAAAAACTTACAGTAAGTCAGGTTTTAAAACTGATTTGTTATAAAAAACAATTTTCTAATGTGACCTTTTTTTCAACTTAAATGTTGTTTTTTTTACTGCCAGTCACATTATTTAGGTACTTTTTCACAATCCAATGACTGGTGGCACATCTGGACCCAGTGTGCTGCTCAAGGACATTTGGACTTGTGGTCTGGGACGATGGAATCGAACTGACAACTTCCCAGATAGCAAACCACTGTACTTTTTTCTTGCATTAACGAGTGTCCTTATTTTCCAAAATGAGCATAAAAGATAAATATTTGCTTGACCTTTACACGCTCTAACAAGTTTGTTTGGCTTCAGTCAAGGGCATTGTGCAGGTCATTCATACAAGTGTAATTATGCCATTTACAACTAATCTCGCCAAAAACATCACATAGGAGATTAATCATTAATAGCTGTGATATGATAAAACCAGGAAAGAACTTCAAATGGGATTTGAAAGTAATTTATTTTTATTTTATGCGTTTAATGTTTGGGGTGGAAGGGAAGAAAAATCTGTAGAAAAGTTTTCTGTGAATTGTTTTTAAATCAAATATCTGGCTTTAAGTCCTAAAGAATTTCTTGGCTGACCTCTTCAATGTGAAACCGTTCATGTCAGGTTTAATATTTCCTGTAATGAGTCTTGTTTGACTTTTCACTGAACAAGTGAACATCTTATTTGGCCTGAGGCTCTTCCTGCTACGTTGAGGTCACTTTTAAACCCAGCCCTCGTAATAAAGCCTTCCTCCTTTTAACTGCAACTCCATAATCAACTTCATTGACTAGCTGCCACCTGTGCATGAGGGAAATACGTCTGACTCGCCAATATCGTTTAGAAATTTTCTGAGATTTCTGTGACATTTGTTTTAATGGAGCGTCCAACTGCTAATGACAATGTTAACTTGTCTGCATACAGACCTAGCCTTCCACTGTCGGTACTTAATGGCAAAACATCGTCTGAGGGGTTTGATGAGTCGGATTATTATCAGTGTTACGGTGATGGCAATAGCATGACATCCCGTCCATCTATTGCTCTGAGTGCTTACGAGACTCTAGATGCACCACCACAGTATGATTTCTACGCCAACAGCCAGGCGTGGGGTCGGAAAAGACGCTTCAGGCCATCTCTGCATCAACTGCATGGTAATTCCGAGGTAAGGAATGTACTCTTTACCAGTTCGTATATTCAATACTTTTTCAACGAGCAAATAAACTACAAAATATATCTTAAATGTTCATCTATATATGACTTGGATATTATTTATGTAAGGTTGTTGACTCAATGCAATGATATTCAATATTATTTTAGTTCTAGTTATGCTTAATGAAGTTACTACTTTTTCTCAAATTGTACTGCTTTTATGCTACAAGCATTTATACTATCAGTCCCACAAAATTTTCTTTTTAAACTATGCTTTCTTGCGTCTTTAAGTCATCAGACTTAATAATTCATTTGTTTAGGATGACTCCAGACCTCCCATGTATGAGGAGAGAGAAGGAGACGCGTCTGAAGATGAGGACGAGGAAAAGGAGCCCCCACCCGAACCCACCCGCTTTGGTTGGGTGCAGGGAGTCATGGTAGGTAGAAATGAAGACTTGCCTGATGTAAGGCTAGGCTAGGAGTTATGATGGATTAAATTCATTGAGATGTGTCGGCAATGTTCTAATTGGAATCATCAGCTTGAAAAAGGTAAACTGGGTTTCAAACCAGTAAGGGGGAAACAATTTTTTTTTTTTTTTTTTTTTTATAACTCTTACTTGTCTTGGGTCTTTTCTCTCTGTGATTTGTAATCCATAATGAAATGTCTTTCATTTAACTTTAAAGTAATTCAAAAACATATTTTGAATGTTTAAAAGTACTGTAATTTCTGAACTATTGACTGCAACCATGGCTGCACAGTAGCTTAGTTGTTTTATCACTGTTGTTTTGCAAAAGGAAGTTTGGATATTCTCCCTGTAGGTTCTCTCTGGGTATTCTGGCTTCATCCCTCAGTCCAAAAACATGACTGTTAATTGGTGTCCCTAAAAAAAAAAAAAAAAAAAAAAACTCTTTTTGGCCATGGGGGTTTTTCTTGGTTTT